TTTTTTTTCCTGCCAAGGGCCACTTGGATATTTATGACATCATTCATTCGAGGGGGTCATCGAAAATGATCCACTTAAAAATCAGCCTGCCACCTTTGGTCCAGCACTCGATGAACTCAGCCCTCGTCTGACGGCCAGACTGCTTCTCTCTGGTGAGATGCATGATGTAAGCCAGGCCTTCGTGAGCCTTCGGCGCCTCTCAGGCTGGACATTCCCCAGCCCTGTGTTGGAGATTTGAGCCTACTCCACCAGACGCCCCTCAGGAGAAAGGCCTGGCCACCCACAGCCTACAGAGCTGCCATTCTGCCGGGACACAGATGGGGGCACCGTGACTCAGGACTCAACGGCAACTGGCTCGGGTGGCTGCACATCTTGGAGCTTCCATTCCTCATCCGGAAAAGCCAGCACACCGTGGGCATTCGGGTGGCCAGTGTGTGTCCCACGGCCGAGCCCAGATCAGGCCCAGAGAGGCATTCTTGGACTGTGACCTAAAATGAAATTCCCCTGCACACGGCCATGGCCTTCGAGCGCATCACAGTGTGGCCATCATCCTACCAGACGTTTGTTTGCTTCCACCTCTGGAAGCTCAACCCCCAAGAGAAGCTACAGACACCACGCCCACCCCCACGCCCCACGACAGTTGGTCATGCTGCAAGACTTGGGGTGCCACCCACAGGGCCCACTGGGGTGGCCTGAGCAGCCTCCCTGGGTTCCATTCTACCATCTTGGGGTGTCTGCTGGTGACCCCCCTTGCAGAGCTTCCCTGGCTCTAAGCCTTCGAGATTAACTTCTCTCTTTGCGAAGGTGCCCCAAGTCTCTAGCCTTAAGCTGCTATTAAACTCATTTTTGGCCCCAGCGGGTTGGTGGGGCCAGCTTTCTCCTGACCCAGCTCACGACCCAGTGAGACATCCAGGTGGGGTTTTTCCCCCCATCCCCTTCCTGGGGTTACACATGCTCCCCAGCCACCCCGCAATATATCCTCTATATCCTTTAGGATATATATCTGCTAGGAATCTCTGCCGAGCCCAGGAATCTCTATCTTCCAGCCCAAGTGGCGGCAGGGACAACCTTTGCTGGCATTCACTTCCCTCTGCATGAGTCATCACCTGCTCTGTGGCCCCCAGGTCTTCAGAGGTCACTTAGTCATAAGCCAAGCCTTCCAAGCCCTGCTGCCCTCAGGGGTCAGAGCCAGGAAGGGCCCTGAATCAACTCGTGTTTGGGTTCAGCCCAACTGGAATTTCCACGTATTTTGCTAACTGTTTGTTTTCAGTAGTGAGTACAATCACGCACCACGCAACATCCTTTTCAGTGATGCCCGACAGCATGTACGTCTGTGGTCCCATACCGTTATAACAGAGTTCTGCGATCCCAATCACAGCGGGGGTCGAGAACTCAGCAGCTGCCCAGATGCAGCACGTGCACCTCCTGCCTCTTGTACAGAAAAGAGATTGTGTTGCCCGCCATAGCCTGTTGTTGTTAGGTACCCACTGCGTTTGGCTTCGATCCCCATGGTGCAGCCGATCCCAATGCTGCCCAGTCCTGCGCCATCCCCACAATTGTTATGTTCGAGCTCATAGTTGCCAGCACTGTGTTCACCTCCCTTTCACTGACCTCTGCGTTCCCAGAGACTGGTCTCTTCTGATCACATGTCCGAACTGGAACCGACTTGATGGTGTCTAGCAACAATAATGACAGCAAACACTCCCCCCCCCCCAATGATTCTATGGTCCCACCCGCCCCACTCCCATGCCATGGGGAGTACCTCCTTCCTTCATCTTCCTCGGCAGATGATGAAACCAGACCCCCCCCCCAAAAAAAAAAACACCACTGCCATCAAGTCAATTCTGATTCACAGTAACAGCGTGCAGGGTTTCTAAGAATTGTCGATCTTTATGGGAGCAGACAACCTCCTCTTTCTCTCTCAGAGCAACAGGTAGATTCAAACCCCTGGCCTTGTGGTTAGCAGCCCATGTCTGACCCACAGAAGGCTGTAGAGCGTGGACTGTGTAATCAGGAACAGAAAGGAAGGAAGGCCCGTCTCAGGCAGTTCACATCAGAAACAATGCTATGCGTGTCCTTGGTGGTGGTGGTGGTTGGTGGTGGTGGCAGTGGTGGCAGCAGCCCTGGAGTCCACTCTGTCCCATGGGGACCCCGAGTGTGCAAAATAGAGCTGCGCCATCGCCGTGTCCTGGCTGTAGCCTTTCAGAAGCAGACCACTGGGCCTGTCTCCTCAAGAGTTTGTGGGTGAGCTCGATCCACCCACTGCTCGGTTCCTAGTCCACTGCAGAGTCATTCGCGAATTCTTAGATGCACAGCCAGGAACGGGTCCTCTGAACTTGCTGAGCAGACAGACCCCTACCCCAGGTGTGCAGAGAAACAAATCCAGCGACACCTCAAATATGTATAAGAAAGAGCTTTAGATCAGCAAGTCATCTTACATCCAGGGAAGGCATCTCAGCCCAGCCCAACTGGAGTCCACAAGACCAGTGCAAGCCAGGGCCCTCTTTAGACTCAGTGTAGCGTAGCGTAGGCTGGTGACGCAGGTAGGTGATGCAGAATGCAGGAGGAGCCCAGTCTGTGGGTGCAGAGCCACGTGGAACCCCCTGGGGACAGAGAGCACACACCTCTCTATTTGGCTGTCACCATCGCCCTGGCTCCTGCTGTCTTGCCTGGCACCGCGAGCGGGCATCCCTGGGTGTGTGATGCTCCCCGATCATGCTTTTTCTTGTTTCACCAACAAAAGCTTTGCGGTCATCCTTGATGAAGCAAGCCCGTCTGCACCAGTTTTCCCAATAGGATGTGTTCACCCCAAGTCTCGATGTCCCCTTCGGGTCATCCTCTCGGCATTCCCGGCATTTTCACGCTGTGGTCGTGCGCTTCCTAGACCACAGTATCGTAAACGTAGCTTTTCTAGACACTGAGGGACCCACCTAGGTTTATCGCCGTGGTCTAGAGCCAGACCCACGTTCTCTCGCGGGTCTGCCTGTAGATCCTCAATCAGCATGTGCTGAATGAGTGGTGAGTGTGTGGGTATTCACAGCTGGCATGAGGCAGGCTGGTCAAGAGGTCAAGGGAGATGGCTGGGGAGCCAGCTTACCTGCCTGCCTTTGACACCCAGCTCCACTCATTAGCTCTTGTCCTCTTGGGCAACTTGGCTGGCCTCCCCGTGCCTCTGCGTTCTCATCTGTGAAATGGGTCGTGGCTTGGCAGACAATAAGTGGTCATTGTACGTTAGTCTTGGGCTTTCAGCGTTCTCCGTGATTTCCATCCTGCACTTAACCCAAACCCGCTGCTGTTGCCTTAGCGCCATCCGATAGCAACCCTAGAGGGAAAAGTGGAACTGTCCCTTACGGTTTCTGAGATTAAACCTTTATGGGAGTAGACAGCCTCCTCTTTCTCCTGTGGATTTGAGCCGCCAACCTTGTGGTCCGAAGCCCAACAGTGAACCCACTGAGCCACCAGGGCTCGGCCCACTATCCACCCGCTGGTTTAACAGAGCCTTCCTTGCTTCCACTGTGTAGCTCCTACATTTCCTCGCCAGACTGAACCCCTCTGGCTGGTGGCGTTTGGACCCTGACTCCTTTCTGACTTCACCCCCTGGGGCCCCTCTCTCCTACACCCCTGCCATGCTGCCCTCCTTGCCACCCCTGTGAGCTTGCTGAGCAGACCCCTACCCTAGGGCCTGTTGGGAGCCATCCCAGTCACGGAGCACTGGCCTTCCGTGCCCCTGCTCTGCCACCGTCAAGCACCTCCCCCCGTGCCCCCGCTGTGTACAATCTTCTCACATCCTCAGATTATAGTGTTCATTCACGTGTGTGCGTGTCACTGTCTCCGCTTCTTTCACAAGGACTCTGCAGGAGGCCAAGGGCCCTCCCTGCCTGTCTCCTTCCCCTGGTACCTAACAGTGCCTGACACATAGAAGGTGCTCGGGAAACGCAAGACAGACAGACATCGAGTCGATGCCAGCTCATAGCCACCCTACAGGACAGGGCAGAACACCCCCTCCCCCCGCCGGGTTTCTGAGAAGGTAACTCCTAATGGGAGTAGAAAGCCCCATGTTTCTCCCACCGGAGCTGCTGGTGGTTTCGAACTGATGACCTTGGGAATCACAGCCTGAAAGTTCGTGGGAAATTTCCAGGATCCTTTCATGGCTGCTTTCCTGTGGGCTTTTTGGAGATGCCCACTCGTATTTGTGTGATCTCCTGGTTCTAGTTCAATGCCCTCTGCTCTACTGCTGGGCCCGAGGGTCACTCAGCACTGGGCATCGCCTCACTGTCCTGGCCAGGCTGTTGCATGAGTGCACCCCCTCCCCAGGCAGGGTGGACGAGGGCAGCTCAGAGACCTTCACGACAAAAGGTGCTCCTGACCGTGAGGCCCCTGAGCATCAGCCCACCTGGGACCTCACCTGCCTCATCTGCAAGCCAGCATACAGGATGAATGTGCTGGAATGTGCCGGAAGCAGGAGCAGCAGGCAGTGCAAAGGTCCTGAGGGAGGAGTGAACTTGGCCTTTGGGAGAGGCAGAAACCTGAGCGTTGGCACAAATCGTCTGTCTAAGCGTCCAACCCTGCCACTCCAGACCTTCCTGTTTCCCATTGAGCTTGCCAGAAACAGCGAGTGTGGGCTGTGGGAGGGGGGCTGGCACATCCAAGGAACTTGTCAGGGCTGCAGGGTGATTCCTGGCCTGGCCCTCAGGGCTGTTGGCATTCAGAGAGGCCTGCGATGTCCCGATCCGTCCCACTCAGTGAGCACCGACTAGATGCCAGACTCTCCCCAGAGCAGATCCCTCCCAAGGTAGAGGGCCCTCCCTGCCTGGGTAGAGGACCCCGGTCCACCCACCTTCACACACCTGCATGACCAGGACGAGGGAGTCCTGCTCGGTGAGCAGGCAGCAGGTGACTCGGCCAGATTCCAGGAGGACCAAGACAATCCCTGTGGAGAAGTCTCCCGGTCCTCCCCGAGCCTTGGCCTAGTGCTCCATCGGCTTCCTTCTTCCTTGCAGCCCCCAGCCTCGGGAAAACAGTCGCCCACTAAGAATGGCAGCCCCTCCAAGTGCCCCCGCTTCCTCAAGGTCAAGAACTGGGAGACTGACGTGGTTCTCACCGACACCCTCCACCTGAAGAGCACCTTGGTGAGTTAGGGGAGGCGGGATAGTGGCGAGGGGGGGCAGGGTTGCTCTGTTCAGCGCTGTCCACATTGGGGGCGGGGAGCTTCCATGGAGTCTTGGGCAGGGAACTGTCCTGAGCATGATAGGATGTTTCGCAGCTGCCCTGGTCTCCACCCATGAACCTCCCATCTCAGATTGTGGCCACCAAGACGTGCCCCGGAGAGAAGATGCGCCCGTTTGAGAGTCTAGAGACGCTTCTTTGTGTGTGTGTGTGTGTGTGTGTGTGTGTGTGTGTGTGT